TTGGGGATTTGTTCTGTGTCATCTAGCATATGGCCATTGGCCCTCATTCATTTATTCAACAAACTTGGTGTAAGCCTATTTCTGCAGATACAGTGATTGAAAGACCTTATGAGTTACAATTAGTGGAAGAGACAAAGAGTAACCACAGGGTCTGGGAGGACAGTTTCCCCTTGGCTGACCTTGCCTTGTCCTTGAGGAGGAGATTTTAGGGCCCAAGGTCTGGGCCTCGCTTCCCTGCCCAGGATGAGATGTGGCTCCCAGTCCCAGTCCCAGTCCCAGTGGATATATCTGGAGATTTGGCCCCAACAGGACACGCTCAGGTACTAAGCATCTATCTGCCAATCCTGAGCCGACCTTGGGATGTGGAATGTGAGATGAGAGAGGAGAGGTCAGCTCCTGGCAGCTCCAGGCCTGGGCAGGGCTGGAAAGAGGCTGTGGAAACAATCAGTGTCTTGGAAGCTCACCCTTGAGTGGGAATGTGGACACCAGGGGTGATGGGGGATCAGGCTACGGCTTCCTCTGGAAGGAGGCTTCTGAGCTGCACCTGGGCACCGACCGAAAAAAGTGCCAGTGGAAGGGCAGCCTAGGAGTGGGCTCTGTTTCCTGCCCCCATCAGGTGGAGCCACTCGAAAGGGGCCTGGGGAGCCCCGGTTCCCACTGGCGCCTTGGCCCTGGTGTTGTCCCTCCCCTCCCCACGGGCATTGTCTTCCTCCTGCCGAGATACCCCTACCCTGGTCTTTCCTCCTCCCTCCACGGGCACTGCAGTCCTGCCCATGATGCCTGTCCAGGCCCTCCATTGTCTGGGGAAGATGCGCGCTCACCCGGGTGGGTTATTATTAGCCGGCGATGAAGTGAAAGGCCCCGAATGGGGGATGCCGAGCTCCTGCCTGACACCGTGGCCGAGGCAGGAAGGAAATGATTCATTATGGCTACAAGGCGTGCTCTAATTTCATATAACGAAATAAATGACAGTCGTATTTTGGGCGCCACCACGCACAGACAGCATTGTTCCCTGACTGGCTCTCACCCGGCCTACAAGGAGAATTGGAGCAGCCCTTTGTGCTGAGAGATGAGCGGCTGGGGGCGCTTGGGGGGTGGCAGGTGCTGTGACCCTGGGAGGATGAGTCCAGTCACGGCTCAGTGGCTGGGGTGGCCAGGGAAAGGGGTTCCTAGACACCCTCCTCCCCTGTCGTGGGCCCCCCTCCCTGCTGATCTCACTTCTTCCTGTGTTTCATATACCCCACCTTCCATCCTCATGGCTCCTCCAGACCCTGCCTATCCATCCAGTTCAGCCCCAGCTCTGAGCCACCTCCTCCAGGAAGCCCACGGGGACGCTGCTTTTCCAGTGGTGTGTCTCTGCGAACTGGTGAGCCCCTATCCCCCTCGCTGTAGGCTCCTGGGCGCCTCACACAACACCAGACTGAGCTTTAGGTGAGGCTTCCTTGGCTGTGAAGGTGTACCCAGTTCAGAGCCAGCGTGCCTTCACCTTCTGGAGCAGGGAATTCCCTCAAGAGTTGAGGGCTGGGCAACCATGAGGGGGTGCACCCTTCAGGGCAGGTCTAGCTACACGATTTGTGGGGACCAGGGTCAGATGAAAACTCGTGGGCCCTTTTTACAAAATTAAGAATTTCAAGAGCAGAATCTTAAACCCTTCTGAATAAGGGACCCTAAGCATTGCATAGTTGGCAGACTCTGTTCCACAGCTGGAGGAAAGAGACCCAAAGTTGGAGCCTGGGGTCCCCTGGTGACAGAACTGGTCCTCTTCTACCTTAGCTGTGGTCAGGTCAGTTTGGGGCCCAATGGATCAACCAGGATGGAAGCACCTTCCGCAGGCTCCCACAAGTGGCCACAGAATCTTATTTTCCCAATGCGTCTCATTTGTGGTCTGGAAACTAAGATAAAAATAATAGAAGCATAGGATAACATTCAAGGGTAATTTCATCTCTGAGCGTCTCACCAGGAGAGGAGCCTCAGGATCGTTGGACCAAGGAATTCTTTTTCCCGCAATATTTGCACACAAAATGGTCCCATTTAAAAACGCACATTAAGAGTCATGTCAATCACAGACACTTGGAAATAGGTGCTGCCTTGAAGGGAAACAGAACTTTTTTGTGGAATTTAATTCGTTCAAATAACCTTTTTCAATCACGGTGACAGCAAGTCTGTGGAGCAGGGAACTCACGGCTTCCTCCTTCTCCTTGCTGTGGGTGGTCCCCCCGGGTCCCCCCACCCCAACCGTCCACAGAGGTCGCTGCATTGAGTGTGCCCTCAGTGAGGTGCCTGAACTGGACAAGGCCCTCTCTCCCTGGTCTCCCTATTGTCCTCCAAGATCAAGTCCCAACGTCACCCATAGACCAGAGGTGGGGGCTGGGCAGGCCAATACCCAGGAGGGCAGATCCCTGAATCGGAGCCTACGCTGGGGTTTCAGCCCAGGATCCCTTACTGGCTGGATTTCCCTGGGGGAGTACAGAGGTTGCCAACAGACACCCCAGGTGCTGGCTGTCTTCAGATTGAAGACTTCCTTTCTTCCTTCATCATTCCTTGCTTCTTCCTTTCTCTCTCTTCCCTCTCTCTCTCTTTCCCTTTCTTTCTTCCTCTCTCCCTTTCTTTCCCTCCCCTACTCTCTCTCTCCCTCTCTCTCTTTCTCTCCCTCTCTTTCAGCCTTTCTTTCCCTCCCTCCCTTCTTTCCTTTTTTTCTTTCTCTCTCCTTCTCTCTCTTTCCCTTTCTTTCTTTCTTTGCCCGTGCTTTGCTTTACCAAACCCTGAAATTAGGTGCCAACCTTTAAAAATCAGAAGTCTGCACATAAAACTCCAGATTTCTGGCTTCTCTGGAAAACAATCTGGAGATTCCCACGTGATCACGATCAGGGTGCTGAGCAGGCTGCTCCTTTCAGGCGAGGCTGTGCCCTGCAGGTTGTCATGGTCCCCCCGGCTCTGCACCCTCTCCCATCCCTGCAGTGAGGGGCGGTCCCCATTGAGCTGGATTTGCACTGTCGTACTTCCTACACCTGGCTGGCATCACTCGTTTGGGTGAACTTCCTGAGTCCTGTAGGCATTTTACCTCTTTTCTCCTCATTTAGCAGTTTCCCGTGGTGCTTTGGTGATGGTAAATGGCTCAGTGTCAGGGGATGTAGAAAGGCATAGATGGGGAGGAAATGTTCACTCTGTCTATTCCCACCCTTGCACTCTGAGAAGGTGCTTGATTTATGCTGGTGATCAGGCTATTGGCCTGGGTATTTCCTGCTGCTCATTGAGAGCAGAGTGGGGGAGCAGAGTGAGAAGAAGGGGCAAAGAGACGGGGCCGAGGGCATGTGGACAGAGCTTTTGCCAAGTGCCCTCAGCCCCTACTTGCTGAAACATGAATCTGCATCATTACTATCGTCTGTTTGAAAAGCACACTCCCTAAACTCTGTTCTTCTCCTCTGGAAAGCTTGTGCCTGTAATTGACAGATGGACCAGCTTCTAACAGGTCACTCCTGGATGCTTCAAAAGAGATAAACCCCTCAGCTCCACACAGCGGCCCCTTCCTGGGGTCCAGCTCATGCTCTGCTCAGGGCCTGCTTCCCTGGCTGTGGGGAGGCTGGAAGGCAGGCACGTTTTCTGAATGACCTCCACCGAGGGAGGTCAGCGGAGCTGGCCGCTGTGGTTGCCTCATACAGGACCTATGTCCCATATAGCACATCCCTCGGCCCGAGAGTCAAGAGACAGGCCCAGGAGCCTCTTGCTTGTGGCTGCTTTTCATCCTTGGTCCCTGGAGAGAAGCCTGTGCCTCAAACAACCTCTTTCTGGCCCTCAGGCCATTCTATAGGAACCGTCTCTGCTGCCCAGCGGGTGTTGGCCTGTCTTGGCATTCTGGCCAGGCGAGAACAAAGTTTTCGTAGAAATAGGAAGATAGTGAAAGCAAGGACAGAGGGGCTGCCACAATGTCCAACTAAGGAAACAACCTGCTTTTCCAACACTACCTTGTTAATTGGCCATCTGGTAGGTTGGGGCCCAGTTGAATTAAATAAAGGGTGATGTACGCACTGGTGGGAGGATGCAGCCTTCAGCAGCACCAGGTGAAATGTTGCTTTGCATGTAGCCCAGAGCCACTGCTTTACAGAAAGCCTGCTGACTGTGGGGTGGGCTGGAGTTTAGCCACACCAGGTACAGAGAGTCCCTTTGCTGGGCCTGTCTGTGACTGGGTTATGCAATGTGACCACCTGTCTCGGAGATGTTCCTGCATTCTGGGCCCACTTGTGGCCTTCTGTTGAGAGGGGGCAGTCTCAGGGGTATGACCATCATCTAAGAACAGGCGTCAGTCATTGAGCTGCTGTGTTATCAGCGATGCAGCTTGGGGTCCTTTGCTAGAAAGTGGAGTTACACTCTAGAGGGCTCCCCCATCTCCCTGAGGAGAAATTCTCTGGATCTGCTAGGTCATTTCCTCTGGAGAGTCTTTCCCGATTCTCAGAGAGAGGCTGCCATATGGAGAAAAGCAGGCTGAGGAAAGCTGTTTGGTCCCGAGGTCAAGTGGATTTGGGAGGTGACAGGTGGCCTGCTGGGGAAGGTCGAGTCTTGGTCTGAAGATGCCGGCCACGTGGGGCTGGGACCTTCCCACCCAGACTCTGGGGTGGTGCCCTTTGGCCATGGTCAGGACTTGGGTTTCCAAGAGCACACAAGTGTCTGAGCAGGCCCAGGGCTTCCCCAGGCCTCTCCTGCAGACCCACGAGCTGTGGCATCACCCACACCAGAGGGGTGATCAGGGTGTAAAATCCGGAATGGGTGTGCGGGGGTCTGGATGTGAGGACATGCTTGTAGAAGAGGCAGCAGCGCCCCCTTTTTAAATAGGCATTTTGACAGTGGTTGGACGATTTTATTTATTAAATTTTGGCTGTGCGAGTTCTTGGTTGTGGTGCGCAGGCTTCGCCAGCTGCCCTGAGTCATGTGTGATCTTAGTTCCCCAAGCAGGGATCAAACCTGTGTCCCCTGCATTGGAAGGTGGATTCTTAACCCCTGGACCATCAGGGAAGCTCCAGCAGCCCCAGGATGGATGCTTCATGCGTGTCCTCCAACTTCCCAGCATGGGCCTCCAGCAGCCCCAGGATGGATGCTTCATGCGTGTCCTCCAACTTCCCAGCATGGGCAGCCCCTGACATCATTGTCACAGGCACATGCAGCACAGAGTATGTACACAGTGTCACCATCGCGACAGCGGCCGCATCAGAATGGCCCTTCCCGTCACAGCGGCGGCTGACGTTGAACGAGCAGGGGTGTGAGCAGCCGTGCCAGCCGCTGGGCTTGCTCATGTCTCTGTTAATGAGGCCGGCCCTCCTGCCACCCCCAGGAGAGGGGGCACCTTACCCTCCTCACTTCACAGAGGAGCAAACCAGCCCGGCACTTACCCAAGGTCAACAGAGGTGGATCTGGGCTTTGGAGCCAGGCTGCCAGGCTCTGCAGCCCACACAAGAATCTTCCCACCTTATGCAAAGTTGGTGACAGGAGCCACTTTTGGAGACTGTGGTCTCTGGAGCAGCTGGTCTCCTTGTTGGGAATCTTGTCCTCCTGCTCACCCCAACTCCTGGGGGTGTGGCAAGGATGATACATGTCTGTTCCCCAGCTCCCCCAGCAAGGAGGGGATGCTCAGTGCAAATGCGCTGAATGAATGAAACCAATCAGCCTCTCTTCCTCACTGTGTGCCCTGAAACCACATGGCGCCAAAGTCAAATACAGATTCAGACATGTGGTCACTGTGTGACCTCTTTGGGAATTCATGTGGTCCCTTTGAGCTGAGGTTTTCGCCTGGTAAAATGGGGAGAAAAAATGCACCTGTCTCATGGAGCTCTTCTAGGGCTTTGAGACAGTGAAGGCCTGAAATTCAGAACCCCCTGTATAAATGTCAGCTATGCCTGCCTCCATCCACCTGCCCTGCCCAGGGATGCGTCTTCCTTTGGACAGTATGGCAGCCTGGGCTCTCCGTGTTCCCTCTCCACTGTGTCTCCTGTGGCCTGCGTGGGCACTGGTTCCCAGAGTCCAGGGCCACAGTGGGGATGAGGGTGGTGCTGTAATTGTGTGAAACTGCTGAAGAGTCAGGGGGCGGGAGGGAGGCCTGGCTCCTGGAACAGCGGAGGGACTGATCACAGTCTGATATGTGGAGAGGGGCATCCAGTGCTCTGGGTGCGCCTGGTGGGGATAGCCTGGCACCGACACCTTTGCGGAAAGTTATCGAGAAGGTCGCGGCGACCGTCCTTCAGGCAGACCTGGAGGCATCCAGACAGTGAAGGAAGGAAGGGGGCAGAGGAAAGGGACAGAGGGACATTCTCTGCCTGCAGAAACCCATACTGATCTTCCATATCCAGGGTACAAACTGTCCCCTCCATGAGGCTTTCCTGTGTTTCCCTTACTGGTCTTTTCTTCTTTTGGGTCTCCAGACTTCTTGCTCCTCTATTTAGGTGTGTTTCATCTTTTCATCTGTCCTTCTCACAACTTGAGGCTCCTCAAAGGCAAGGCAGCGTCTGAGTCAATGGTGATTCTTGCTCTCAAGAGCTGGCAAGGATGCAGAAGGGAAGGGAGATGCAAGTGGAGGTGCCTCCTGGGGACAGCTGGTCAACCCTCTTTCCTTAGTTGTCCACATCCAGGACAACATATCAGACCCAAGCAGCAAGCAGTGAAACTCTGTATCTTGCTGCTTGGGGCTGATATATTATCCTGGGTGAGCATGTGGATGGAATGGTGAGCAACTGGATGGAATTCCAGTTGAGCTATTTCAAATCCTAAAAGATGATGCTGTGAAAGTGCTGCCCTCAATATGCCAGCAAATTTGGAAAACTCAGCAGTGGCCACAGGACTGGAAAAGGTCAGTTTTCATTCCAATCCCAAAGAAAGGCAATGCCAAAGAATGTTCAGACTACCACACAATTGCACTCATCTCACACACTAGAAAAGTAATGCTCAAAATTCTCCAAGCCAGGTTTCAACAGTACATGAACCATGAAACTCCAGATGTTCAAGCTGGTTTTAGAAAAGCAGAGGAGTCAGAGATCAAATTGCCTATATCTGTTGGGTCATCAAAAAAACAAAAGAGTTCCCGAAAAACATCTACTTCTGTGTTATTGACCATGCCAAAGCCTTTGACTGTGTGGATCACAACAAACTGTGGAAAATTCTTCAGGAGATGGGAATACCAGATCACCTGACCTGCCTCCTGAGAAATCTGTATGCAGGTCAAGAAGCAACAGTTAGAACCAGACATGGAACTACAGACCGGTTCCAAATTGGAAAGGATTACGTCAAGGCTGTATGTTGTGCCCTTGCTTATTTAACTTAAATGCAGAGTACATCATGTGAAATTTTGGGCTGGATGAAACACAAGCTGGAATCAAGATTGCCAGGAGAAATATCAATAACCTCAGATATGCAGATGACACCACCCTTATGGCAGAAAGTGAAGAGTAACTAAAAGCCTTTGAAGAAAATAAAGGAGGAGAGTGAAAAAGCTGGCTTAAGGCTCAATATTAAGAAAAACAAAGATCATGGCATCCAGTTCCATCATGGCAAATCGATTGGGAAACAGTGGAAACAGTGACAGACTTTATTTTCTTGTGTTCCAAAATCACTGCAGATGGTGACTGCAGCCGTGAAATTAAAAGATGTTTGCTTCTTGGAAGAAAAGCTATGACCAACCTAGACAGCATATTAAAAAGCAGAGACATTACTTTGCTGACAAAGGTCCATCTAGTCAAAGCTATGGTTTTTCCAGTAGTCATGTATGGATGTGAGAGTTGGACTATAAAGAAAGCTGAGCACTGAAGAATTGATGCTTTTGAACTGTGGTGTTGGAGAAGACTCTTGAGAGCCCCTTGGACAGCAAGGAGATCCAACCAGTCCATCATAAAGGAAATCAACCCTGAACATTCATTGCAAGGACTGATGCTGAAGCTGAAGCTCCAATACTTTGGCCACCTGATACGAAGAACAGACTCCTTAGAAAAGTTCTTCCAAGGAAAGAACTGGGAAAGATTGAAGGTTGGAGGAGAAGGGGATGACAGAGGATGAGATGGTTGGATAGCATTACCGACTCGATGGACATGAGTTTGAGCAAGCTTCGGGAGTTGGTGATGGACAGTTCATGGATACGACTGCATGCTGCCGTCCACGGGTTCGCAAAGAGTCGGACACGACTGAGCGACTGAACTGAACTGAGCATGTGGACAAGATGCCTGAGTCCTGGAAAAAACAGTGTGGAAAATTTTTGGATCTTGCACTAGAATTGTGGGCTGGCCTGAGTCATTGTGGGTGATGCCGGACCACATTTTAGAGTCTGAATGCCGAGGCAGATTTGCTCTTCTATGTGGCTGTTTTACCTTTCATCTTTTATTCCTGTGCCTTATACATGTGGGTATGAACGATGGTGGACTGCCATAGCAAAGGACAAAAATACCATCCTAGCAATTGGCCTGGCACGTAGGCCAGATCTTGTTGCAAGAGTTACACTCTTGACATTGCCTGCTTGAACTCGTTTGGACGATCTGAGGTCACTTATGCATTCCTCTGCGATCTTTGGTGGAGGTGTTTTTCCTCACTTTTTGTTCTATGTTTAGGAAAGAAGTTTGCAGGAGCTTTTGGATCACCCGTAATGATGGGGATTGTAATGAAACACATGAATGAATGAATCTGCACTAGAGCCTGGAATGGTGAGACAGTCCCTTCTACAGGGTGTGCACTGTGGGCTGTTAGCTTCTGCAGAGCTTGACATTCTATGAAAATTGGACTCCTTTCAACCCACAGGGCTTCCCAGGTGGTGCTAGTGGTAAAGAACCCAGCTGCCAATGCAGGAGACAGAAAAGACATGGGTCTGATCCCTGGATTAGGAAGATCCCCTGAAGGAGGGCACAGCAACCCACTCCAGTATCCTTGCCTGGAGAATCCCATGAACAGAGGAGCCTGATGGGCTACAGTCCATTGGGTTGCAAAGAGTTGGACATGACCAAAGCAACTTAGCACCCACAATCCCCAACACTCCACAGCATGCCCTGGAAGAGCAAAGTGCTACGTGGCAGTAGAACCCCTGTAGTAGGCAACCCGAGTTCTCATAACAAAATACTGCGCACTGAATGGCTTAAACAAAGAAATGACTTTTCTTGCAGTTGTGGAGGGTGGAAGTCTGAGATCAGGGTGCCAGGATGGCTGGATTTTGGTGAGAGCTCTTCCTGGCTTGTGGATGCTACCTTCTCCCTGTGTCTCCACATGGGAGAGGCAGTGATTGTTAGAACAGAAACCTGGTCTTGCCACCACCCTGCCAACAGATTCACACTGCATTAGAGTAACCCCTACCTCTCATCACAGCCTCCATGGTCCTCTGCGATTCAGACCGACCTGACCTCTGACCGCAGGTCACTTTCCCTGCCGCTCAGGAGCCTCCAGTCACGGACCTTTTGGTTCCTTAAATTTGAGCCTCAGCGTTTGTCACTCTCTCTGCTCACGAAACATTGATTCGTCACCTGGGTCTTGACTTCCTGAGGGCCGACTGTCGCTGTCACAACACCGCTGTGGCATTTCTTCAAAACTCTTATGCCCAGAAGGCTTTGTCTTCTGGCTAGAATGTCAGCTCCACGAGGGCAGGCATCTCATCCCTCTTGCCTGTTGCTGCAACTGTAGCGCCAGAGCAGCGCCTGGCCTGTCGGTGGTGCACCGCCAACATCTGATGGACGGACGCGCCTCTCTGAGCCTTTCTCTTGGGGATAGTGTGGGGGGACTCAGCGTATCTTCAGGGCCTCCCCTCGCCCTCCACCACATGCATCCATTCTTCTGCTCAGGCTTTCCTTGTTGGATTCCCCACCCCATCCCTTTGGTCCCATGCTGTATGGTCAGGGGCTCCAGTTACATCAGACTACTCTGCAGACTCAGAGCACCCTCTGCTGCTGCTGCTGCTGCTGCTAAGTCGCTTCAGTCGTGTCTGACTCTGTGCGACCCCATAGACAGCAGCCCACCAGGCTCCCCCGTCCCTGGGATTCTCCAGGCAAGAACATTGGAGTGGGTTGCCATTTCCTTCTCCAATGCATGAAAGTGAAAAGTGAAAGGGAAGTAGCTCAGTCGTGTCCAACTCAGCGACCCCACGGACTGCAGCCCACCAGGCTCCTCTGTCCATGGGGTATCCCAGGCAAGAGTACTGGAGTGGGCTGCCATTGCCTTCTCAGCAGAGCACACTCTAGCCTCCTGCTTTTGCAAAGGCCTTCCCAGCTCCCTGAAATATCCAAGTCAAGATCTTCCAGAGGATTCTAAAAGCCCTGTTTCAGGACCCCGTCCCCTC